AGATGACAATCATGGGCGCTGTAGCGTGTAGCATGTAGATGACAATCATGGGCGCTGTAGCGTGTAACATATAGATGACACACATGGGCGCTGTAGCCGTGTAGCATATAGATGACACTCATGGGCGCTGTAGCGTGTAGCATGTAGATGACACTCATGGGCGCTGTAGCCGTGTAACATATAGATGACACTCATGGGCACCGTAGCGTGTAGCATATAGATGACACACATGGGCGCTGTAGCGTGTAGCATATAGATGACACTTATGGGCGTTGTAGCGTGTAACATATAGATGACTCTCATGGGCACTGTAGCGTGTAGCACATAGATGACACTCATGGGCGCTGTAGCGTGTAGCATATAGATGACTCTCATGGGCACTGTAGCGTGTAGCATATAGATGACACTCATGGGCGCTGTAGCGTGTATCATATAGATGACACTTATTGGCGTTGTGGCGTGTAACATATAGATGACACTTATGGGCGCTGTAGCGTGTAGCATATAGATGACATTCATGAGTGCTGTAGCCGTGTAACATATAGATGACTCTCATGGGCACTGTAGTGTGTAGCACATAGATGACACTCATGGGCGCTGTAGCGTGTAGCATATAGATGACACACATGGGCGCTGTAGCGTGTAGCATGTAGATGACACACATGGGCGCTGTAGCGTGTAGCATATAGATGACTCTCATGGGCACTGTAGCGTGTAGCATATAGATGACACACATGGGCGCTGTAGCGTGTAGCATATAGATGACTCTCATGGGCACTGTAGCGTGTAGCACATAGATGACACACATGGGCGCTGTAGCGTGTAGCATATAGATGACTCTCATGGGCACTGTAGCGTGTAGCACATAGATGACACTCATGGGCGCTGTAGCGTGTAGCATATAGATGACTCTCATGGGCACTGTAGCGTGTAGCACATAGATGACACTCATGGGCGCTGTAGCGTGTAGCATATAGATGACTCTCATGGGCGCTGTAGCGTGTAGCATATAGATGACTCTCATGGGCACTGTAGCGTGTAGCACATAGATGACACACATGGGCGCTGTAGCCGTGTAGCATATAGATGACACTCATGGGCGCTGTAGCGTGTAGCATGTAGATGACACTCATGGGCGCTGTAGCCGTGTAACATATAGATGACACTCATGGGCACCGTAGCGTGTAGCATATAGATGACACACATGGGCGCTGTAGCGTGTAGCATATAGATGACACTTATGGGCGTTGTAGCGTGTAACATATAGATGACTCTCATGGGCACTGTAGCGTGTAGCACATAGATGACACTCATGGGCGCTGTAGCGTGTAGCATATAGATGACTCTCATGGGCACTGTAGCGTGTAGCATATAGATGACACTCATGGGCGCTGTAGCGTGTATCATATAGATGACACTTATTGGCGTTGTGGCGTGTAACATATAGATGACACTTATGGGCGCTGTAGCGTGTAGCATATAGATGACATTCATGAGTGCTGTAGCCGTGTAACATATAGATGACTCTCATGGGCACTGTAGTGTGTAGCACATAGATGACACTCATGGGCGCTGTAACGTGTAGCATATAGATGACACACATGGGCGCTGTAGCGTGTAGCATGTAGATGACACACATGGGCGCTGTAGCGTGTAGCATATAGATGACTCTCATGGGCACTGTAGCGTGTAGCATATAGATGACACACATGGGCGCTGTAGCGTGTAGCATATAGATGACTCTCATGGGCACTGTAGCGTGTAGCACATAGATGACACACATGGGCGCTGTAGCGTGTAGCATATAGATGACTCTCATGGGCACTGTAGCGTGTAGCACATAGATGACACTCATGGGCGCTGTAGCGTGTAGCATATAGATGACTCTCATGGGCACTGTAGCGTGTAGCACATAGATGACACTCATGGGCGCTGTAGCGTGTAGCATATAGATGACTCTCATGGGCGCTGTAGCGTGTAGCATATAGATGACTCTCATGGGCACTGTAGCGTGTAGCACATAGATGACACTCATGGGCGCTGTAGCGTGTAGCATATAGATGACTCTCATGGGCGCTGTAGCGTGTAGCATATAGATGACACACATGGGCGCTGTAGCGTGTAGCATATAGATGACTCTCATGGGCACTGTAGCGTGTAGCACATAGATGACACTCATGGGCGCTGTAGCGTGTAGCATATAGATGACTCTCATGGGCGCTGTAGCGTGTAGCATATAGATGACACTTATTGGCGTTGTGGCGTGTAACATATAGATGACACTTATGGGCGCTGTAGCGTGTAGCATATAGGTGACGCTCTGTGGCGCTGTAGCGTGTAGCATATAGATGACACTCATGGGCGCTGTAGCGTGTAGCATATAGATGACACACATGGGCGCTGTAGCGTGTAGCATATAGATGACTCTCATGGGCACTGTAGCGTGTAGCACATAGATGACACTCATGGGTGCTGTAGCGTGTAGCATATAGATGACAATCATGGGCGCTGTAGCCGTGTAGCATATAGATGACAATCATGGGCGCTGTAGCGTGTAGCATGTAGATGACAATCATGGGCGCTGTAGCCGTGTAACATATAGATGACACACATGGGCGCTGTAGCCGTGTAGCATATAGATGACACTCATGGGCGCTGTAGCGTGTAGCATGTAGATGACACTCATGGGCGCTGTAGCCGTGTAACATATAGATGACACTCATGGGCACCGTAGCGTGTAGCATATAGATGACACACATGGGCGCTGTAGCGTGTAGCATATAGATGACACTTATGGGCGTTGTAGCGTGTAACATATAGATGACTCTCATGGGCACTGTAGCGTGTAGCACATAGATGACACTCATGGGCGCTGTAGCGTGTAGCATATAGATGACTCTCATGGGCACTGTAGCGTGTAGCATATAGATGACACTCATGGGCGCTGTAGCGTGTATCATATAGATGACACTTATTGGCGTTGTGGCGTGTAACATATAGATGACACTTATGGGCGCTGTAGCGTGTAGCATATAGATGACATTCATGAGTGCTGTAGCCGTGTAACATATAGATGACTCTCATGGGCACTGTAGTGTGTAGCACATAGATGACACTCATGGGCGCTGTAGCGTGTAGCATATAGATGACACACATGGGCGCTGTAGCGTGTAGCATGTAGATGACACACATGGGCGCTGTAGCGTGTAGCATATAGATGACTCTCATGGGCACTGTAGCGTGTAGCATATAGATGACACACATGGGCGCTGTAGCGTGTAGCATATAGATGACTCTCATGGGCACTGTAGCGTGTAGCACATAGATGACACACATGGGCGCTGTAGCGTGTAGCATATAGATGACTCTCATGGGCACTGTAGCGTGTAGCACATAGATGACACTCATGGGCGCTGTAGCGTGTAGCATATAGATGACTCTCATGGGCACTGTAGCGTGTAGCACATAGATGACACTCATGGGCGCTGTAGCGTGTAGCATATAGATGACTCTCATGGGCGCTGTAGCGTGTAGCATATAGATGACTCTCATGGGCACTGTAGCGTGTAGCACATAGATGACACTCATGGGCGCTGTAGCGTGGAGCATATAGATGACTCTCATGGGCGCTGTAGCGTGTAGCATATAGATGACACACATGGGCGCTGTAGCGTGTAGCATATAGATGACTCTCATGGGCACTGTAGCGTGTAGCACATAGATGACACTCATGGGCGCTGTAGCGTGTAGCATATAGATGACTCTCATGGGCGCTGTAGCGTGTAGCATATAGATGACACTTATTGGCGTTGTGGCGTGTAACATATAGATGACACTTATGGGCGCTGTAGCGTGTAGCATATAGATGACATTCATGAGTGCTGTTGCCGTGTAACATATAGATGACACTCATGGGCGCTGTAGCGTGTAGCATATAGATGACACACATGGGCGCTGTAGCGTGTAGCATATAGATGACTCTCATGGGCACTGTAGCGTGTAGCACATAGATGACACTCATGGGCGCTGTAGCGTGTAGCATATAGATGGCTCTCATGGGCACTGTAGCGTGTAGCACATAGATGACACTCATGGGCGCTGTAGCGTGTAGCATATAGATGACACACATGGGCGCTGTAGCGTGTAGCATATAGATGACAATGATGGGTGCTGTAGCCGTGTAACATATAGATGACACACATGGGCGCTGTAGCCGTGTAACATATAGATGACACTCATGGGCGCTGTAGCGTTTAACATATATATGACACTCATGGGCGCTGTAGCCGTGTAACATATAGATGACACTCATGGGCGCTGTAGCGTGTAGCATGTAGATGGCACTTATGGGCGCTGTAGCGTGTAACATATAGATGACACTCATGGGCGCTGTAGCGTGTAACATATAGATGGCACTCATGGGTGCTGTAGCGTGTAACATATAGATGGCACTCATGGGCGTTGTGGCGTGTAACATATAGATGACACTCATGGGCGTTGTGGCGTGTAACATATACATGACACTAACTGTACTTGTCGTGTGTTGCCTGTAGTCTCAGATTGGATTCGGTACGCCTACATGTTGACGTCGTTGATATCTAGTATGACCGCGAAAAAAGTTGCAAACGTTTTAGACTTGTATCACATCGGCTTTCCACTTGCATAAAAATACCACGCCCTGACATAACTGACAAGCAACATTAAAACCCAACACATTATCTTGTATGGAAGATACGAATATGAATACACCGAAGAGACTATGCCTCCCCATGGGTCACGTGTGAGACTGGTTCCAAAATAGCCATCGTGTACCAACCATTTTTCATGGAAACTGAAGTCAAGCAAAGTCCATTGTAATATACATGCCTTAGGCTTACTTTGCCATCGAGCAACGAGAATCGTCTTTCAAACAAAGTAGTGACAATAGCATATAACATGGACTGAACATTTCTAGATACAATTTGCTGATCGTCAACATTGGAGATGAGAATGAAACTTACCGTTGAGGATCCTGAGCAACAACTGACGCTGTGCTGGAGACGTGCGTCGACTGTTGTACTCGCGCACGTGGGGTACGTGAGCCGCATGCAGACCAAATTCACTATTCAGTTCTGGGTTAGTTGGAATTTATAACATACACGATGTGTCCAAGTTAGTAATGAACTATATCCCAGCAATACTTCCCATGGTTACCATGGCAATTTAGCCGCGTATCACAATAAAGAATATATAACAAAATTAATGTGGCATAATGTAAGTAGGCCATGGTGAAATTGTTGATAAGAAGGCACGTTCTTTTCAATTTGTAGCTTTGGTGCACCCTTTAGTTAAAGTAGGATAGGCTTCATGATTTAGAGGCACCAAAAAGAATGAATGTTGATGTATTGCTTTGGCACCTCTTACTCAAACGGAGGAACTCAATAAATTGCCTTGCGCCCAACCTAACTTAAACAGAGGAACACAGTACATAGCCTTGTGGCCTACCTTACTTAAATTGAGGGAGTAATACATCGCCTTATGGCCTACCTTACTTAAACACAGGAACATAGTACATAGCCTTGTGGCCTACCTTACTTAAACACAGGAACACAGTACATAGCCTTGTGGCCTACCTTACTTAAACACAGGAACACAGTACATAGCCTTGTGGCCTACCTTACTTAAACACAGGAACACAGTACATAGCCTTGTGGCCTACCTTACTTAAACAGAGGAACACAGTACATAGCCTTGTGGCCTACCTTACTTAAACACAGGAACACAGTAAATAGCCTTATGGCCTACCTTACTTAAACACAGGAACACAATAGATCGCATTGCGGCTTCCCTTACTTAAATAGAGGGAATAAAACATCGCCTTGCGACCTACCGTACTTTAACACAGGAACACAGTATATCGCCTTGTGGCCTACCTTACGAAAACACAGGAACACAGTACATCGCCTTGTGGCCTACCTTATATAAATAGGGGGACTCAATAGATCGCCTTGTGGCCTACCTTACTTAAATAGGGGGAGTAAAACATCGCCTTGTTGCATACCTTACTTAAACACAGGAACGAATACATCGCCTTGTGGCCTACCTTACTTAAACACAGGGACACGGTACATCGCATTGTGGCCTACCTTACTTAAATATGGGGAGTCAATAGATCGCCTTGTGGCCTACCTTACTTAAATAGGGGGACTCAATTGATCACCTTGTGGCCTACCTTACATAAATAGAGGCAATAATACATCGCCTTGTGGCCTACCTCACTTAAATAGGGGGAGTAAAACATCGCCTTGTGGCCTACATTACTTAAACACAGGAACACAGTACATCGCCTTGTGGCCTACCTTACATAAATAGGGGGACTCAATAGATCACCTTGTGGCCTACCTTACTTAAACACAAGAACACAGTGCATCGCCTTGTGGCCTACCTTACTTAAATAGGGGGAGTAAAACATCGCCTTGTGGCCTACATTACTTAAACACAGGAACACAGTACATCGCCTTGTGGCCTACCTCACTTAAATAGGGGGAGTAAAACAACGCCTTGTGGCCTACATTACTTAAACACAGGAACACAGTACATCGCCTTGTGGCCTACCTTACATAAATAGGGGGACTCAATAGATCACCTTGTGGCCTACCTTACTTAAACACAAGAACACAGTACATCGCCTTGTGGCCTACATTACTTAAACAAGAACACAATAGATCGCCTTGTGACCTTCCTTTGCTTAAATAGAGAGACTTCATACATCGCCTTGTGGCCTACATTACTTAAACATAGGAACACAGTACATCGCCTTGTGGCCTACCTTACTTAAACACAGGAGCACAGTACATCACCTTGTCGCCTACCTTACTTGAATAGAGGGAGTAATAAATCGCTTTGTGGCCTACCTTACTTAAACACAGGAACACAATAGATCGCCTTGTGGCCTATCTTACTTAAACGCAGGAACACAGTACATCGCCTTGTGGCCTACCTTACTTAAACACAGGAACACAGTACATCACCTTGTCGCCTACCTTACTTGATTAGAAGGAGTAATAAATCGCTTTGTGGCCTACCTTACTTAAACACAGGAACACAATAGATGGCCTTGTGGCCTATCTTACTTAAACGCAGGAACACATCACATCGCCTTGTGGCCTACCTTACTTAAATAGAGGGAGTACGACATCGCCTTGTGGCCTACCTTACTTGAATAGAGGGAGTATGACATCGCCTTGTGGCCTAGCTTACTTAAACACAGGAACACAGTACATCACCTTGTGGCCTACCTTACTTAAACAGAGGCAATAATACATCGCTTTGTGGCCTACCTTACTTAAATAGAGAGACACAATACATCGGCTTGTGACCTACCTTTGCTTAAATGGAGAGACTTTATACATCGCCTTGTGGCCTACCTTGCTTTGATATACGGACTGAATACATCGCCTTGTGGCCTACCTTACTTTGATATACGGACTGATTACATCGCCTTGTGGCCTACCTTACTTTAATATACGGACTGAATACATCGCCTTGTGGCCTACCTTACTTAAAGGGGCACTGATCTAACGCAATTCCCCGGGACTGGTTGTTGCCTTTGTTATTGTTTTTTCCCAGTGAGTACCCGGATGTATAGCAGAAATCTAGACTAGTTCGCGACCTCTGCTGCGCCATTCGTAAGCGCATTAGTCACTTTTATGGGTAGTAATTAGGGCGTATGGTCACATTGATCAACAAAATCAAATACAGTTTTCGAGATAATAAGGAAATGTAGGTATCTTTGTGAATAGCATCGGTAATGGTGTCGAAGTTTTGATAAGTCACTTGCTTGGTAATTTTGCGATTTTCGTTTACACTATTTTGACTTGCAACACAAAGTATATATTTCTACTGAGCATATGCTTTTTTATAGTGTGTATATTTTTTTACTGTCAAATGTGTAACAAATTTATTAAACGTCTAAATATTCAGTTATTTTACAAAGTGACTGAAAAACATTTCCATCTTTATTATTATGACAACGAATTCCAAACATTTTGATGTTTAATGTCATCACCAAGAGACTGAAAATGTAACGTTGAAAAGTACATTTCTAAGTTGTTTGGCTTTTAATCCTACATAATAATCTGTTGTGATGTTTGTAGGCCCTTTTGATCGTCTTGATCAATCTGGACAGATTTTTTAGTCAAAATGACTGAAATATTTACACATTTTATAAATTGCCTGAGAGAATCACATTTTACAAACTGACTGTAATATTTACACGCTTACAAAGGAAAAGACCTGTGACAACAACGTCTATCGCGCATTGAAGAATTTCCCAACCAAGACGTAGAGAAACAAGAACGAATCGGTTCAAATGAAGGAAAACAAAATGCAGATATCATAATTACAACCTACCAAATTTATGTGTATAAGTTTTAGGCAGCTTCCTTGTTCGAGGAATGTATCCGTGAATATCCACACAAAGGAACAATATCCCACTCGTCTGCAGCTGTACAAAGAAACTTATTCGATGCCACGTGTCTCAGTAACAATCAAATATTTTAAAAGATATTTATCGTTTCGGGATGTTATAACCCGTGTTCGTTTCTCAACTGATCGCTTGGATTGTTTCAGGTGTTTTACATAGGTGTCAAGTCTCAGTGGTCGGCTGAGAAAGCCCACGTGACAACTATTTTCATAGCGTCCACGGTTCCTAAAAATTCCATTGAGTGATAGATAACAATGATCAATCAATCAACGTATTATCAGTTAACCCTTTGAACAAAGTATGTTGTTTTTACATCGGCACTTCGCGCCATGGTATGAGTGTATTCCCTTTGTTTTAGTAAACCTAGACATGTAAACACTCACTCTTGACATATCCACTGTGCAAGATAACAGTGATTAATCAATCAACGTATTTTCTGTTAATCCTTTGATGACTAGAACGATCCGTTGATTTACAAAAAAAGTAAATCAACTGATCATTCATCTCTTGCTGGGCTGCCACGTGCATATTACATAACACACATTTCACCTCACTTCAAACCTTGATTTAGATTGAATAATTACCCCAGACACAATAAATGCCAAATGGGAACCTTTGTCAGGTAATATAAGTGGTGCTACCACTAATTGTACCTGTAATAAATTCATTAACTGAGCATCAAGTGAATGACGACAAATACACAAGTGTAGGGTTATACGAGAAAACGTGGATGACAACAAGGGAGTAGTAATCGTATTATCGACGCAAGCCGAAATCCGAAAATGCTTTCACTGCATGGATACTGTTTTTAGTATAAACTATAACCATCTGGGGTATTTCCAAATGACGACATCCGATGAGCTCCCTTGTTCTTTTTTTCTGTTTGTTTAGGCTGAAGAAATGAATTAACATGCGCCCTTTGTCGAAATCTTTATAGATCACAGTTAACCAATCAGTGTTCAAAAATGCGTAAAACAAATATTGCCTCCAGCCTCCAAGTTTATTTAGCTGTCCTTGCAGACGGTACCCCAGTCTCTGGTCACGCTCAGTTGCGTTGCGTATCATCCGGGTACTCACGGGGGAAAAACAATAACAAAGGCAACAACCAGTCCGTTAGATCAGTGCCCCTTTAAACAGGGGGATTCAATACTACGCTTTGAGGACTACCATACTTAAGTTGTTGTTGTTGTTTACCTCAGCAATATTCCACCTATTTGACGAAGGTCTGTAAATAATCGAGTCCAGACAATCAATCCATTGATTGACATCGCCTTGTGACCTACCTGACTTAAATAAAGGGACTCAATACATCATCTTGTGGTCTGTCTTACTCCCTTCCTTACAATTAGAGACGAGGTTTCTGTTTACCAAACAATCAATACGTTTAGAAGGGATATTGTTGCACATTTCTTGGAGTTTGTAGTACTGTGTGCCCGAAGTACACGAAGACATTTTTTCTGCTCAGATTAATTTTTCGTATTTGTTCTCATAGGCTCTAGACCCCCATAGTTTTTCATTACAAAACATTTTTTTGTGCAAACATGTTATAATCCAAAAATACAAGTTCAGCTATAGCCCGACGAAGGGTTCGAACGGATAAAAAATAATTGGCACGTCGTAAGGGAGGTATCACAGAGAAATTAGAGTTACCTCCCCATGTAGTTTGTTTTGATTCTGAACGTGTTTTGGTGGAATGTGACGCTTTGTACACAATATGTATCAGTCGGCTACTCTAAACTGATAGCACTGCACTTGCATTGCATTTGAAATGTTTGACTGCCAAGGTTGTGGAAGCAAAGACCAAGTTACACAAGAGCAGGGGGCTAAGGGAGATATGAATTTACTCCGTTGCCACATATAATAACGGAAAAAGACGCACAGGTTTAGTTGAAAGAAATGTCGGTTTCCAATGAGTTGATTTCTCTGGCTCAGCTGATCGAGAATGGTGATGAACAAGAAGTCCTACATCATATTCGGACAAATAACATCACCCCAGGACTTAATCGCAATCTTCCCGCTGTGATAACGCCAGTTTCAGTAGCGGCAATACATGGCCATGTGAACGTACTAAACAAACTCCTCTCCCTTGGGTTTCCTCCACACCCAGACCGACACCCAATTCATTACGCAGCCAGAGAAGGTTGTCTGGCTGTACTAACATCTTTGGTGGAAGATCACAACACCGAAGTGAATTGTTTAGACAGTGTCGATGAATCACCGCTGTTCTTAGCCTCACGCAGAGGTCATTTTGATATTGTCAAATTTCTTGTAGAAAGAGGAGCAGACGTCAACTTCGGAGGTCGAATACCACCACTTGTCATTGCTGTTGCTCACTGTCATCCTCATATCTGTGACTACTTTATTAAGCAAGGAGCTGATGTGAACAAGGAGGACCGATATGGACGCTCACCTCTCCGCGCTGCTGCTCGCAAAGGCTATGTGGACATCGCCTGCACCCTTGTGAAAGCAGGGGCATGTGTAAACGCACAGTGTCGGAATGGACAGTCGCCATTTATGGCAGGAAGCCAGTTCGGTCATTTGTCAGTGATGAAATTTCTTGTGGCCCATGATGCAGATGTTAATGTGATTGATAACAAGGGAGACACAGCCTTACATCTGGCAGTTCGGGAGGGTCATTATGAAATTGTACGTTATCTCCTTGTTGATCTGTGCGTTGTAGAGACAGTTAACTTGGATTGTGAATCACCTTTCTCCATAGCACTTGACAATATGGATTATGACATTATGCTTCTGTTTCACCAGGCTGGTAGATGGCCATTGAATGTGTTGTGTGATTTTCCATGTGGTACAACAGAAGAACTGCTGATGCCTATTTTAGACGTTGTAACACAGCCATATTTGCTTCAAGAATTAGCCTGTTTCAAACTTCGAAATACGTTACGACCAAAGTTGACATCTTCAGTGAATCACCTGCAATTACCAGGGGCAGTTAAGGAGTTCATCCTGCTCCGTCACATTCCATCTTCTAGACCATGAAGGGATTTGGATATAACATACTATCGCTGTGCAGATTTGTGTCTCTTATGCTTGTTCGGCTAAAAAAGTTCTCAGGCACTTCCTGCATCATTTTATATTTTATTTCCATTTACCAAAAAAGTCCCAATTCAGACGTTTCCAGCCAAATTTGCCCCAATTCTCCCGTTCTCAATCCGAATCTGATCGATTTGTATCTTCCACATGGTAAAAAATGACCAGTCTGTCCCGAAAGCGTCCTGATTCTCCCAAATGCCATCAGACAGAGATCAGACAGTGACTGGACAGTGAACACATTCTGCAAGATCTGGACACAATCTGGACTCAATTGACAAGAAAAGGCAATGAAAAATTCATGCCCGTTCATCACAACAGCATCCTGATCCACAGGACACCGTCCCGACAACACAGGACATTGTTACGATTTTGATCCGATACAGCAGAATCTGTCACGACATTCACAATTGTAATCCGACTCGACAAAATCAGCTGAGTTTCCCGAACGCTACTAGTCAGTGAGGACTACCATCATTGGATTTTCACTTGTCCTCAGCACAAGTTAGTAGTCTCAGGCTATTGGACTAGCATAAATGTTGAAGGCTGTTGACTTAAACTGGAAATGGACAAGACACTGAGGCATTATCCCTCATTCACCTGTTAAACCATCCCGAGGCAAGGGAGTTAACTGACTCTAAAAGTCCAGTTTACACCCTTGCCGTGGTAGGATTGAATTTCTGGGCTCGATCGTAGCGCCACCAGTGGCTATTACAAGCTATGTCCCTTGTATGTCCCTCCTACTGACCATGACCCATGATGCAGATGTTAATGTGATTGATAACAAGGGAGACACAGCCTTACATCTGGCAGTTCGGGAGGGTCATTATGAAATTGTACGTTATCTCCTTGTTGATCTGTGCGTTGTAGAGACAGTTAACTTGGATTGTGAATCACCTTTCTCCATAGCACTTGACAATATGGATTATGACATTATGCTTCTGTTTCACCAGGCTGGTAGATGGCCATTGAATGTGTTGTGTGATTTTCCATGTGGTACAACAGAAGAACTGCTGATGCCTATTTTAGACGTTGTAACACAGCCATATTTGCTTCAAGAATTAGCCTGTTTCAAACTTCGAAATACGTTACGACCAAAGTTGACATCTTCAGTGAATCACCTGCAATTACCAGGGGCAGTTAAGGAGTTCATCCTGCTCCGTCACATTCCATCTTCTAGACCATGAAGGGATTTGGATATAACATACTATCGCTGTGCAGATTTGTGTCTCTTATGCTTGTTAGGCTAAAAAAGTTCTCAGGCACTTCCTGCATCATTTTATATTTTATTTCCATTTACCTAAAAAGTCCCAATTCAGACGTTTCCAGCCAAATTTGCCCCGATTCTCCCGTTCTCAATCCGAATCTGATCGATTTGTATCTTCCACATGGTAAAAAATGACCAGTCTGTCCCTAAAGCGTCCTGATTCTCCCAAATGCCATCAGACAGAGATCAGACAGTGACTGGACAGTGAACACATTCTGCAAGATCTGGACGCAATCTGGACTCAATTGACAAGAAAAGGCAATGAAAAATTCATGCCCGTTCATCACAACAGCATCCTGATCCACAGGACACCGTCCCGACAACACAGGACATTGTTACGATTTTGATCAGATACAGCAGAATCTGTCACGACATTCACAATTGTAATCCGACTCGACAAAATCAGCTGAGTTTCCCGAACGCTACTAGTCAGTGAGGACTACCATCATTGGATTTTCACTTGTCCTCAGCACAAGTTAGTAGTCTCAGGCTATTGGACTAGCATAAATGTTGAAGGCTGTTGACTTAAACTGGAAATGGACAAGACACTGAGGCATTATCCCTCATTCACCTGTTAAACCATCCCGAGGCAAGGGAGTTAACTGACTCTAAAAGTCCAGTTTACACCCTTGCCGTGGTAGGATTGAATTTCTGGGCTCGATCGTAGCGCCACCAGTGGCTATTACAAGCTATGTCCCTTGTATGTCCCTCCTACTGACCAATCAGATTCCACCTCTCAAAATACTTGTGTTGGCTTCAAACAAAAAGGTGGTGCCTAGTCAAGATGATCTGATCGATGTTCAACATACATATTGTAATAAAACGGGTCTCATCTCGTGAATTGCATCAAATCACGTGAGCACCTTGATTAAAAACCTGAAAAGATTTGGAAAATATCTGTCTACGCACAGTTGACGGTACAGATACTTTGCAAATCCTGCAGTCGATCGACATCTGCATGTTAAAATCTATGTTGTTTGCGAACCGGATGTAATTTTCGTCACACAATTTTGAATGCATAGACTCGTTAGTCCAGCCAAAATATAACTCCATAATTGCAGCCTAGATTTGCAAGGGTGGAAACTGGACTTGTACAGTCAGTTGACATCCTTGCCTCGGGAAGATGGTTCAAACTAGTGAAATATTGTTGACACTAATTCTCTGAAATTTCTAAGGCTCATCCAAAAATTGTAATTAGTGCATATGTGAAACTAAAGCTGACTTTGGGACATTATCTGTGGAAAGGTGTCAAATGCTTGACTGACGTGACCAAAGGATTGGCATAATAAAAAGAATAAGTTCTTGGACAACGTGGGTTTGCAACATGTGGAGTGAACTGAGTGAAACTAGCACAAAGTATCCATTGATAGAGCCTATTGTGTGTGGCTATGTTGGATGTGTAGGACCCGATCATGTGGATGGAAGCTGGTTAATAAGTTGTCTAATTTGAAATGAACTGTAGAGTGCTGTAAAGGCAGTAATGAGAGACCTCAGACATATATCCTCTTTGACAACATGGACAAGGAGTGTATTGGTAGTCTGGGTACTGTTTCACAAAGTGAATGTTGTTCTATGACTGCCATATCTCTATATTTTAGCATAGACTTACGACAGTCGTAGCACGACTATCCCTTTCTGAAAGTGGCCCCTGGTGGTAGTGAGTGAGTGAGTGAGTATGGTTTTACGCCGCTTTTAGCAATATTCCAGCAATATCACGGCGGGGGACACCAGAAATGGGCTTCACACATTGTACCCATGTCGGGAATCGAACCCGGGTCTTCGGCGTGACGAGTGAACGCTTTAACAACTGGGCTACCCGACCGCCCCCCTGGTGGTTGAAGCATTTGTGCTGTTTAGCAGTATTTCAGTTACATCACGATGCATCATCTAAATGTATGAGGAAGGTCCTGTTTTAAAGAGTTGACATTTTCAACTTTGGTAAAATGGAACTGGCACTGACTGACCAAGATTCATTATTGTGTCATATCTAGGATCGAAACCTACAACCATCGGTTAGACTGGCTAAGGGATGCAACACTGCACAGTTTGTCCACTGAGAATGACCACGTTATTGATAAGCAGTAATTAGGATATTGCTTCAATACTGCTGAGATCCTCACTCATACACACACCTGCTTCAGTGCTTGACAATATGTTCAAATGACTGCATATAGAACAGGGCAACATGTCATATGTTTTGTAATGACCATATAAGCCCTCTTATCTTGAAAATTCCAGGATATGTACACTATTGCAGTCATGTAAATACTACATGTAGCATTGGATTCTTTTATGCTTGTTGCTATCATTATGATGAAACAAAAGTAGATTTCCAATATTTTGAATTTTTTTAATTGAATGGTTAACATCGTCTATAATAAAACAAGTAACTGCATTCCTTTTCCATGTTTTTTTTTGTATTTAGTTGAAACATACCTTATTCGATGTAATAAGCGCCCTGCTTTAATAAGTGCCCACAGCGATATTTGCTAATATATTGGCTAGTGAACAATTCCAATTCCTTCCGATTGATCAATGTACACAAGACTTATTTATTCGTGTATAGTACACACTCGTGTATTATATGCACCCTTAATTATGGGCAATTAAATTCTTGAAAAATATATCTGTCGTGTATAATACACACAGACTTTTCTTTTGTATCATTTCAGGCTGTCAGCATAAACCATGAAATTTACGATCTTTCAACTCTGTTGTTTTTCACCAAAATTTTATTCAAAAAGAGCCCCCTATTTCTAATTTTGAGAGTGCCCTGGGCGCTTATTATGTCGAATACAGTAATGAGTGTTCAGCATGTTCAGACAGATCTTGACAGTAATTCATGAACCTCTCTTTCCACCTGTTACCTTGTGATCAAGTGAGTGAGTGAGTATGGTTTTATGCCGCTTTTAGCAATATTCCAGCAATATCACGGCGGGGGACACCAGAAATGGGCTTCACACATTGTACCCATGTCGGGAATCGAACCCGGGTCTTCGGCGTGATGAGCGAAAGCTTTAACCACTAGACTACCCGACCGCCCCCCTTGTGATCAAGAATAGAACACTGCTCATCCTATCCATGCTATCAGGTATGTGAACAAGGTGTATGTGTCTGTTTTGTTTTATCGCTGCTTTGAACAGTATTTTAGTTATTTCACAGCACATCATCTTAATGTTGGAGGGTACTCAAAATTATGGACATCATGCATGTTTTTTAGAATTGTTTTTATGAACCTGCAAGCACGGGTATAGTCCTGACAAACGATGAAAATCAGAGCAGTTTCTGCCAGCGCTCATGCACACAGTCCTATAAAGTGGCTAGTGGCGAGCGTTGTCTTATCGCCTGTCAGGCATGTGCATGTTTGAACATTTTATTTAAAGGTTTTAAAGTGGAGGAAATTGACCCATGTCTTGATGTCTGAAAAATGTTGAACACATAACAGGCATTGAAGCAGTACATACCATTGAAAGTAAATTAATTGAGCTTTTCTGAAAATAAACATAAATATAATTACTAAGTACCATGTGAATGATCCTCCAAGACATGTCAAACATTGTTTTTAAGACAATTTCTCAGAAATGATCATAGATGATTTGACCAACTTGACTTCAAATACTGTTACATCATCTCACATTACATAAACTGATGTGTGAACAACATCATCAACATCATCATGAATATGGGTGTGTGAAATCCTTTGTAAATATCTACTTTAAAAAATGTTGTATTTGGGATAACACTTTCTTTGTAAAGTACAGATTCTCGTACTTTTTGGGGTTGAGTCCCGTCCGGGATTCGAACCCACACTCCTAGAGTGAGGCACCTAATAGCCAGCACACAATGTCAGTGATCTAACTCACTCAGCCACCGAGGCTTCCACAAAATGAAAGTCCGACAACTGGTAGTCTAGATCTCATAGTTTGTGTACCCCTCTGACAAGTGTAAATTGGCACGGCTCCCATGGCCGAAAGCTATGAACACACAATGCCATTTAGAAAGTGGTCAAATGTAACAAATGTTGTATTTGGGATAACACTTTCTTTGTAAAGTACAGATTCTCGTACTTATTGGGGTGCCATATAGCCGTGCCAATTTACACTTGTCAGAGGGGGTACATAAAGTACAAGATGTAGACTACCAGGAACATAAACAATAAATTAAGAACAATTTTTTGGTAGATAAAATAATATCTTGACTGGTAATAGGCTGGAACGAAATGATTACAAACATATTTCAAAATTGTGTTAGGGTGCCAATTTCATAGTAAAATTTCATAATATCACAATGAAAATAAGTTCCTGCACACCTGATTATATAAAGCAATTGTTAGGTAAACTGGACAAACACCTATTTCTGGATTGTATGTGAAAAGTATTCTTCTTCTTCATGTTCCTGGCATATTTAATTCCAAAGGGCAGACTTAAACATTTTGTATGAATTTACTGTGGCACACTTGGAATAAACTGTTTCTACCTTTGACACACTTTTCTGCAAAACAATGACCTTATTGTAATCTACATGGAGCACACTACTGTATGATGATATACGAAATGCATAGTTCAGGATAAACATGAAGTATTTATGTATCACTTGTGTAATAATGAAGCATTATGCTACCGGTTTTAATGCTAATTTGTAAAGAAAATATATAAATCAAGCTAAATAAATTTAAATGCTAATTTGTTAAAATAATATATATAAAGATAAATAAATAAATATATGGGGTCGAACTTGGAAACTGCAGGTTGGATTGAACATTAAGTCCAAATGTGAACTGAAACCTTAAATTAGAGTTACCTCCCTTACATATGTTACTCACTTCGAGCTTGAACAGTGTGTGTGTGTCTGAACCAAACAACATCAAGGAGGTGACAAACACACATTACAGAAGATTGGTTTCTCAAATGTCTGTGACAGAATCTGTACCACTGTTCCATATATTTTATCCAATAGACCAAGTTAAATATACGATGACAAAGGCACACGACACCATGGATAGTTGCAAATTTGCCCATCCTCTATCCTGGCTATCACTCTCAACTGTCTGTCAACTGAAGCTGATTTGAATTGTGTATGGATTTATGAGAAAGATTCATAAAAAATGAGTGACTTACATGCCCTGAATGCAATAATTGAGAAAGGCAAAGTAGATGATATTTTGCATCATATTAGGACAAAGTGTGTAAATCCAGATTGCTATCAAAATCAACCCCCTTCGTCAGTGCCTGTCTCTGTGGCTGCCATTGCAGGACATGTTAATGTTTTAAATACTCTCCTTTCTTTAGGGTTCATGCCCCACCCAGACCGACGGCCGATTCATTATGCAGCCATTGAGGGTCACCTAACAGTTGTACAATCATTAGTAGAAGATCACAATGAGGACATCATGTGTGTTGACAGTAAAGGCCACACTCCATTGTACCTAGCTACACTTAATGACTGGTTCGAGGTTGTCAAATATCTTCTTGAGGCAGGAGCAGACGTGAATAATGGTGGCCGGATGCCACCACTTATTTTAGCTGTTGTGCACTACAAGCCTGAACTTTGTAAATTTTTCTTGAGTTATGGTGCAGACGTCAACTTGAGGGATAATTTTGGACGCTCACCGCTTGGGACGGCTGCACGGACAGGAAGTGTAAACATAGCATGTGAGCTGATACAGGCAGGGGCTGACGTTAATCTCTCAAGTCGAGGAGGAACACCGTTTCTATCTGCAAGCCGTTTTGGTAAGGTGTCAATGATGAGACTCCTGTCCTCTCAAGGTGCTGATGTTGAAGCGTGTGATCAAGACGGAGACACTGCCTTACATCTGGCTGTGGGCGAAGGGTATTATAGAGTTGTCAGATATTTAACTGTTGAACTGTGCGTCACGCTAAATGCTGTCAATAATAATGGAGAGACTGCTTTCTTCATTGCGCTGAAAAAGACGGACATTGCTGTTATGCAGCTGCTTATAAAGGTTGGGTACTGGCCAGTGACTGAGATGCATAGGTTAGAAATAAACAGTGCATCTGAGGAATTCAAACTTCTGTCAGACATTATGTCTGCACCTTATTCACTTCAAGAATTAGCCTGTTTTAAACTTCGAAGAACAATGGGATCAAGAGTAACGACTTCAGTGAATCTTCTTCCAGTACCCCAGCCTGTGAAGGAATTCATTTTGCTCCGCCACTTACCATTTTCTAGACCTTGAAGGGGTATTCATATATAGATTGGACAAATGCATTGGTCCAGAGTTAAAGGCGTAAATTTTTATATGTACCATAAGTTTTTTTAACAGATGTTTTCATACTCTTGGATAATATTAATAGAGAGTGCAAAGGCCCTCTTACTCACCTGGTACATGCAAAACGAGCTGAGGCCCAAGGTGAGCTCATGCCATACCGTGGCATCCGTCGTCGGTACAACAATTTTTTCAAACGACGTCTTCTTCTGGACCACTAATTGGAAATTAACGAAATTTGACTGGAAGCATCAGTAGGTGGTGGGGATTAAAAATTCTACAAATGGTAGCGCTGACCCCCAGGGGACTGAGGGCCGGAGCCAAGTAGGGGTAATTTGGCTATATTGCTTTAAATGACCTCTTTCTGGAACTAAGAAATAGATACCAACCATATTTGGTTGGAAGCATTCTCCGGTGATTAGGATTCAAAATTGTACAAATGGAGGGTCTGAACCCCCAAGGGGCTGATGGGCGGGGCAAAATAGGGGTAATTTGGCCTTATTGGTTTATTGCTGTCTGGCTCTCCCAAAGGTGTTAGAACCTTGACCATAACATGCAAACCGATATTATCCCCAACCTATAATAAACAGATACATTGTATACATTTGTTGTTTATGAAGTGAATAATACATTTATGCCAATAGGATTCGCCCTGGGATGCAGCCTTGCCTCTGGAAACCTAGATCCTGGATCATAACATGGAAACGGTTCAGATCTTTATGTTACATTTGTATCTGGAGAAGTACACGTTCATGCTGTCAGATTTGCCATCCACACCTTTTAAATGCTGACAGTGTCAAAATTACGCAATATTTGCAGTATTATATACATGTACAATGCAAATGCATATTTTGCAGTGTTCGAAATACCTGCCTGCCCGACCGTCCGAGACGGGTTGATTTCAACTCGGGCTGCCAGATTTTCAAATCCCCCTGCCCGACGGTCGGGTTATATATTTCATATGTGAAAATATTCTAAATATTTCCCGATGATAAGCATTAATTCACATGTAAAGATGAATGATAAAATGTAACCAAAAAGAAACCCCTTTAGCTTTTAGACAACCTAAAATTTAACCATGCGCTTATGCTACAAGGGCTGTGTCTATTCGCACAATATCGTGTACATTAAGAGTACATATTCCACAATGTACAAGATATCGTGTAAATAACAGACGGTTTGCGGTTAATAGGCTTAGTATCTACACAGATCAACACATCGATCTCGGCATTTGCGCAACTGTCAGAACCCACAACACTGGTTTTTAATTATACTTGTTGATAAAATCGAATATATGCAAATAAATATTTAATCATTTACACATCTTATTTACTGGGTACATTTTACATTATATTAAATGATAATATATATGCCTCGCTAAAAATGTAGACATTAATTGCGCAAAAAGTCATTTTTGCTTTTTCCACGGCGATAGATGTGTGACAACCCTGTCATATATTCCTCAGTAGGCAATTTATAGCGATCCCACAATGACAATAACCTACAATACGGTGCACGTATGCTGAGAAATAAATACCTAAATAACATATCAGAGTTGCCCTATTCAATTCTGATAAGAACGGTTTATGTATTCATATATCTGATGACTGTTTATTGGTTTAAAGTTCCAAATACAAATTTTAATATTGTTCTTAATTGAAATTTTTACATATTGGTTTCCTATTAAATCAAAATGCGATATTTTCGCATGCAAATTATGATCAGTCATTAAACATTTTGTCCATCTTTGGTGTTAAAATGATCAATGTTATGAGGCCCTATTTAGGAATAAGGATATTAACATGATGTATTCTAGGATATTAAACACAAATCTGACCTCAAAAGTGTTTGCTTTTTCTTTTCTTGAATTACTTCATGTTCAATGAATTCGATTTAAAGTTTTAATTAAATTATCCTGAGAAACATATGATTATGGTGGGCAGGCAGGTTTTGGTCAGGGCTGGCAAGTATTTCAGCTAGCCAGTCCTGTGGTCTGGCTGAAATTTTTTGGAGTTTCATACCCTGATATTTTGTCATGAATCCATAAATATCCAGGTGAGCAATACAGGCACTATGGGCCTCTTGTTTTGTGTAGCCACCAAGTAAGGAGAGAGTGGCTGTGAATTGGATGTATAAAATGGTCTGTATGTGAGAGGAATGTATGTTATTAATACAATATCCCTTAAGCTTAGGACATAATGTCCTGTATCAGCTTGATCTTCGTGATATTCTGAGCAAAGCTTCTTTCACATTTTAAGAAAGACCTAAAGTAAACACCATTATCATGATTATCAAATCTGAAACCCAGAGCCTTGCACTTTCTGAGATCATGCTAAACGATTAACTGAAGAATATTTTTTCTATTGAAAAAGCCCTTAAGATTTCAAAGTCGTACTCATCTTCCTGAGGGAAGAGTGTCCACAAAGCCTAGTTTCTACGCTTGCCATTTCAAACCTATGTTTCTTGGATTGATCATGACACCACCCAGTGTAGAGGGGGAGTTGTGTCCCAAGTGATGAAAACCTGATATCCAATCAGATTCTTATTTCGAATATAACCGCCATCATGTAGCTGGAATACTGATGAGTCATAAGAGGCAACTAACGTGACTGGGTGGTCAAGCTCGCTGACTTGGTTGATGCACGTCATCGTATCCCAATTGCATGGATCGATGCTCATGATATCAATCACTGGATTGTCTGGTCCAGATTCATTATTTACAGACTGCCGTCGTATGGCTGGAATATTGCTGAGTGTTGTGTTAAACAACAAACAAACAGACATGAAACTAAAGGAGGCCTCATGGCTTATGAGCAGCGATTCCTGAAGATTTTTGCCATGTACACACCTGTTTAACCCATACAGTCGCTTCAGCATGTTTAGTTTACCATTCAACAGAATGAAGATTATGAAAGAGCTAAAAATGACTTCTATGTATGATCTGGTTCAGTGAAATTCTTTATCATTGTTTATAGGCATTTAGAAGTTCGATGTAAACATGACAATGATTACTCTGAAGGAGAACTTCTTTGTTTCACATACATGTTTGAGGGCTACTTCTTGCTCCTTCAGACCGATGAAGATCCGGGGTAGAATAGGTCTTCAGCAACCCATACTTGCTGTAAAAGGCGACCATGCTAGTCGTAGGAGGCGACAAACGGGATCGGGTGGTCAGGCTCGCTGACTTGGTTGACACATGTCATCAATCCCAATTGCGTGGATGGATGCTCATGATATCAATCACTGGATTTTCTCGTCCAGACTCGATTATTTACAGACCACTGTCATATAGCTGGAATATTGTTGAGTACGGCGTAAAACAACAAACAAACCAAATCAAACTTGCCCCTTCATCAGATGAATGAATACATTCATGAGTGAAATTGTTTAGAGAGATTGTATAATACTGACTTTCAGTGGTTCAGCAATGTTCTGTGACCATTAATATTTCTGTGGTACTGCTCCTGCAGGCTACATGGAATAGATTTTTGTTGACCCATGTGGACATAAACATGAGTTTCTGGATGTTTGTTTTTTGTTTGTTTGTTTAACGCCGCACTCAGCAATATTCCAGCTATATGACGGCAGTCTGTAAATAATAGAGTCTTGACCAGACAATCCAGTGATGGTCATCATGTGCATCGATCCAAGCATTTGGGATACGATGGCATGCATCAACAAAGTCAGCAAGCATGACCACCCGATCCTGTTAGTCGCCTCTTACGTCAAGCATAGTTGCCTTTTACTGAAAGCATGGGTTACTGAAGACCTATTCTACCCCGGATCTTCACAGGTGCTACATAAGTATTGTATATATGACAGCCAATGACCGAACATTATTACAGTTGAAATTGTAACACCCAATAAAGGCAAATGACAACAAATAGAAAGTTGTTTTCGATGTATTTATTCACTGAAAATTGCACCATCAGGAACTTCCTTTCCTTGCATGTTTTACAGTGAAACAAACCATATTGTGAAACATAACAGAACCTTCATGCAAACAGTGACACCAATTCTAACCATGAGGCTCATTGTTAGTTATGTCTGGCAATGAAACCTACATCAACTTGCTGCTATTTGTAGGTCGATCCCATGCAGTCTCCGTGGTTAAAGGCAGTGTTCAAAAGAGCTGCCTGCCTGTCTGTTTCATCATATCTTGGCTTAACTACGATCAGTTTAGTGTCTTATCTTGTATGTTTAGGAAAATATTTAAAAACCCTGAAAACCTCAATCAGATTATTTGATCACAACTCGCAACTCACAACTGCATTGCAGCAGTATGAACAAAAGCAACTGGGTAGTCGGAGGGCAGACTAAGTGTTTTAATGTACTCATAGCTTGTTTTCCAAACTTGACCTGTCAACATGATAAACGATAGTGAGACGGTTTACATTCTCTTTCTCAATAGTCTAGGCACATGATGGCTGGGGACTCCTAGATACGGCTTCTCCCATATGTGGGAATTAAACTCTGAATCTTCTGCATGACAAACAAACATGTCAGCCAATGGGCTCAGATGATTTCAATCTGATATTGAGAATAAACCCAAGGATTTATGCAGGATTTCAAACAACAGCCCTTGGCTGGCAGACTGGGAAAATATAAGGAGTTTGTTTACAATTGGGTCAAGGTCTTATGTTCTTCAATTTATTCAAAAGTATTTTAGTGAGTGAGTGAGTTGGGTTTAACGCCGCATTTAACAGTATTCCAGTTACATCACGGCGTGTCAGCTTAATGTGGGAGGAAAGCCTGAAGTGATGTAGGTCTCAGACGTTTACCACTTCGGTGAAACCCACGAGCACGGGTATGGTGCTGACAAACCTAGAAACATAATCAGGGCGAACTGGGATTTGAACCCACAATCATAGGTTTCTGGAGTGCCCAAGGGATGCAACTCTTCACAGCAAATCGCGGCGCCTTAGACGACTGGGCCACCCGTGCCCCCACAAAAGTATTTTAATGTTGCGTTCAGTGAAATTATGTAAGTCTCTTCTCTCTATTGGCCCTGTTACCAGTGAAAAACAAGTCACTTGTACAAGCCATCACATTAGTTAAACCATATGAACATGAATTGGAAAATGTTTAATTCCAACTTGGGACATTTTACTGACATTTTCTTCAGATTTGGGGCTGAATATCGGTCTCTAGCCCCTGAAACTAGTCCTGTACCATATCTAATAACTCAGGTATACTTCAAAAGCAGCATTTCCCTTTTGTGTTCACTGTCACTAGAAATATGTATAAATTTGTTCTTCCATATCAGGTCTTGCTTATTATCACAACATTTTCTTGTCAAATGTGACAACACAAAAGCTTTGTTTGCAGATATCTGAAATATACGTTTTCTATACAGCATCACTTCTATTACCACGTCCTTAAATTAAACAAACACAGCCTTCAGGATCCCTCATATAAATCAATATCTACATAAAGGAGTGAAAAAATATTGCTATATGTTTACAAAATTCATATGAATAGTCTGTACATATTTACACTTAAATAGAATAGCTTCTGTTTGTAAAATGACTATCTACATTGAGCAAAAGGTAAACAGCAAATTAATATTCAAGCAATAAAAGGTATGATAGTGGAGACCTGTTAGTGATGTATTTTCTTTGAAAAAAAAAACCCAAACCAACCAAAACAAATACATCCTCTATTATCCAGTGTATCATCTCACCAAGACTGTCTCACCACCTTAGCTTTGTTTGGAGTCTTGTTCGAATGACACAATGCTAAAAATAGACATCCAATCAAATTACATTCTTTCATGGTTGAACAAGTTGCGATATCACCAGACATGACTCGGCTGTTACATGCTGTCTGATACATAATCTCAGCAAGTTTCGTTGCATAGGGTTGTCCCGCTCATTCTTTATACTCGGAAGAAAAATCAAAAAAAAAAATTATTTGTGAGTCTTGTGATTTAATATAATATCTTGGAAGGGACCATGATTTTGAATGTCAATCTATGGCAAACTCGGTTCAGAAGAGACATTTTATGTTGTTCGATTTCAAGCTCATCATCTTCCCGAGGCAAGAGCATCCACTAGCCTTTTTATTAAAGTCTTATTTCCACCCTTGCCGCATCAAGCCCACATTCCTGTGCTAAATATGATTGGACTATCGCAAATATTGATAGTCCGATCAGAGAACATTTAACAAAATCAACATCCACGACTGGTACACCTTCGTATGAAAGTGATTTACCGCTGCCTGTCGTTGAGGACACGAAAATGTCTTTTTCATCTTTTAAACCCCCAATGATTGCCTATTTTTTGTGTCAGGGATGAAATCACAAATGTTTTTGTTGTACGAGGCTGTCGCCTATGGTAGTCGCCATTTTTGTGAAGCTATATGAGATAAGAACATCAATCTGATTGGATACCATGTGGATACCACAACTCGTGATCTACGTGAGGTGGCGCCAGGGTCGAGCCAAGAAAAGTGGTCTTGATGTGGCAAGGGTAGAAACTAGGCTTTGATATACCCAGTAGGCTAGTGGACATGCTTGCCTCGGGAAGGTAAAGCTCATGAGCGAGAGAAATTCTGTGCTAAGTTAGTGCTAAAAGATGGAGCTGGTGACAGCACTTCCAGAACAAAGGTATGGTGCCGATTGGGTCCTGTGTATTTTTCATTACAAGACATAACACATTGGATGATTGAGGATAGGACAATTATGGTGTCAGTTACCTTTATTCTCATGGTCATGTATCTGACCTCGTCTATTTGTATTGTTCCAGGTCAAACATGTCCATAGAGAGCTTAAAATAACAAACAGTTGTCAAGTTTATATCTTTCACCGAGAAATCTTGAATAATTATTACAATGAAAACAAGCCGATTTAGAAGCATTATACACCCACCATGTTTCTCCCTTTCCAGAGGGTGGGTCTCACAGTAATATAACCAGTTGAACTAGTTGTGTGCATTTTCTCAGTGAAAATGACACTAGGTAGATTAGGCCATACATTTTATTTTCTTTTGCTGGACCTTATTCAACAAAGGGATCTTAGCAGTACGATGATCGTAAGTCAAAGCATGGGAGTGACGATCAACTTACAACTAAGAGCGTTTGGTGGAACAGGGCCCTGGCTAGAGGAAACACTGCTTCTAATCCACAGCCCATACAATCAAAGACTGATGTCTCCCTCCCTGTCAACTCCTACCATGCCTACTGTAAGGTTGGTTTGGTTGGTTGGTTTGTTGTTTAACGCCGCACTCGGCAATATTCCAGCTATATGACGGCGGTCTGTAAATGATCGAGTCTGGACCAGACAATCCAGTGATTAATGTCATGAGCATCGATCCACGCAATTGGGATCGATGACATGCATCAACCAAGTCAGCGAGCCATACCACCCGATCCCGTTGGTCGCCTTTTACGACAAGCATAGTCACCTTTTACGGCAAGCGTGGGTTGCTGAAGACCTAGTCTATCCGGAATCATCTTCACAGGTCCCTACTGTAAGGTAGTGATAGCAGCAAGACTCAATCAAACAGTCAGTTGTGTTTAATGCTATGCAGTATTTCAGTTATATGGCGGCATGTAGGATGAATGTGAGTGGGATTCTCAAAGTGATGCAGGTCATGTAAACAACGTTGGAGAAACCCATGAACATGGACATGGTGAAATCATGAGACACTAATCTGGGATTTGAACCCAAAACAGCAGATCGTGTCATGACTAAGGGACACAACTCTGCACAGCCAGCTGCTGTGCCTCATACCACTGGGCTATTTGTATCCAACAACATCTCGAAGTTGCAGGAAAAGACTTTCACATATTCACACATTGATACCTAACTGTTTTGTGCATGTGCTGTGCAACAATGTAACAGACACATTTGGCAGCTGCTTTTGTGTTTAATTGTCACCTTCTTTATATAGTGTCATAATGAACAGGTTCTCACTATGAAAACTCTGAATACCATTGACATTGACTGAGACATATTTCATAGACCAATACACAAACACTTCAACACTGCTGTCCATTCTCAATGCCATTAATACAAACTGAAATAAAAAAAAGATATTAATTTGTTTTTGAGAATATTTTCCCAAATTAACTTATAGCACTTCATACTTTGGCTTTTATTACATGAATATTTTCATATATGACATACTGTTGTAAACTTGTCTCAAAACAAATGCAAGACTGTCCATGGAAGACCCCAAGATCATATTAATAAAATATATTTATAATCTCAGAACAAATACCCTGCACAAGAAACTGATAAATGAATAAATAATGAGCTAAGAAAAATACAATGACTTGATAAACAAAATCTTGTCAATCTTGACAACAACAATCAATCCAGCACCTGGAGAAGGGGTCCTTAGGGAACCAAACATAACCTTGACCTTGACCGGTATCAACAAAGATGAAAGGTTTATTTTCAGTCTTGCAAAGTGGTAACTTGACATGAGGGAATTACACTCGATCCAAGAAGGCAAGACTTTCTTAAAACTGGGTTTATGACTCCCAAAATTGAAATGTGAAAAAAATTGAAAAGCAGGTTAACAGTTACAAGAATAATCTCAGGAGGAGAATTTATTGATGAGAGCTTCTTTATTGTGACAAACACGTTTCGGAGTAAGCATTTACTCCGAAACGTTGTGTTCCTCATAATAAAGAAGTTGACATCCATAAATTCTCTTCCTTATGTGTATCACTTCTAAATGCCTATCAAAAACTTAAGAATAATCTATTTTTGCATTAAACAGCCAATCCAGCCTTGCTGTTTGTAACTGTTTCTTTCCCTATTCCTCCCATTTCCTCCTTTATCTACATAGCATTTTGAGGAAATAAAAAATATACAATTGAAATTGGAAGCTTTTTATTAATAAATTTTTCGACCTACTGACTTGAATGTTTTGGCCAACAATCTGTTAAAAAAAATAGGAAAAAAGGCAAAAGTCTGGTTTGGTAACTTGAATCAGGAAGTTCAACATATTTTGTGGTGTGAGGGTGATCAAGAAAATCTGCTGTGATTATCTCTTGAAAACACATTACAAATCTTCCGTGATAGTTTCATTCACTCATCTCGGCTTTTGAAGGGTAGGAGGGAAGAGGGTCTCAATCATTAACAGAAATATTTTTGCACTGTCTAATTATTAGACACACAGAAAAATATACACTGTCTGTAGCAATGTTAGAAATATATAATGACCAAAATGAACGGCTTTTTGCTGCCAGTTTCTCAATTTGAAAAATACTACAATCTGAGTAAAAAACAATGATGGTGATGAAAGCTACTGGAAACATGTAACATGTCTCACAACAGTCGGCTGAATAAAAGGCAATCTTACAATTTTTGTCTCCCATAAATAAAGGGTCATGATAATCCATGCCTCTATTGTTAGATGAACAAGGGGTCTCAAGGAGTCATAACTTGAAGCAGTTGCCTCCTGAATATCATCAGAACCCCAAGTGTCAGTCTCACTGGATCTTGGGTGCACACATCTTCATCCCTGAGGACCGTGAGTGAATTCGAGGCTGGCTGGGTTGTCTCAGAAATCTTCAAATATATTCAGTCTGAGTATTGCCAAATCATTTATTACATCAATCAAAACGTGCAAATATCTTCATCATGACATTAAATTACCGGTATCCTTGACCAATCAATTGTTCAGGGAGACAACTCTGAAATGTAATTTGCAGGTCTCAGACATGAGTCGTCTCCCCTGACAGCATGTTCTCCCAAGCTGTCTGTTCTCATTCCATAATACTTCACAATAGCTGGCGCCGACAGCTTTTTACACATCATACTATTTTCTGGTGTCAAGAGTCGCCTCCCCCTACAGTGAAAACAACACTATCCATTCCAGCATTTATGTTTCCATTGTCCAAATCTTTGTTGCTGCAGATTTCTGTGAACACTGGGCAGTGGTCACTCACAACACCACCCCATGACCAGCCATTTGGTATCCATGGGTTGGACAGGCCATCACGAACAACACTGGAACGACCTGGGGAAAGATGGAAAAAGGAGAATTCAGATTTCTGTCCTCAAATTGCACTAGAACTTTTCAACAATAAATAGTAGTTGTCTATAGTTTGTTTGTTGTTGAACGCAGCACTCAGCAATATTCCAGCTATATGTCGGCGGTCTGTAAATACTCAAGTCAATCCAGTGAGTGACATCATGAGCATTGATCCACACATTTTGGATCGATTACATGCATTAACCAAGTCAGCGAGGCTGACCATCGGATCCCATTAGTCGCCTCTTACGACAAGCATAGTCACCTTTTACGGCAAGCATGGGTGCACACATGGCTACCTGATGGCGTGCGTGCGTTCGTGTGTGTGGTTTTACACCGCTTTCAGCAATATTCCAGCAATATCATGGCAGGGTGTGTGTGTCTGTGTCTCTGTGTGGTTTGACGCTGCTCTCAGCAATATTCACACATTGTACCTATGTGGGGAATCGAATCTGGCCCTGTGTGTGTGTGTGTGTGTGTGTGTGTGTGTGTGTGTGTGTGTGAGAGACAATTTTCCACTTATACTCCCATAAATAATCGAGTCTGGAGACAATCAAATTATTGATATAATGAGAAACAATCAAAGTCATCAGCCATGTCCTCGAGATTCATTATGATCAGGGCAGATATCAGATCTTATCCTACATCCTGGTACTGCTAAGGAACACAACTCTGCACAACCTCAGCCATCAGATTGGGTAGATTGCGGTATTTGTGTCCTTCCACTAGGGCTGGGGTGGGATACTCGGGTACTCGGGTCGGGTGGATACTGAGTAGGATGCGGGTACCCAGGGGACAACCCAGACGTGGTTATTCACGTGATATATTGTTTAATGACAAAAATTATCTGGAACTCTATGGTTACACTACAAGTCACTAATGTTCACATTTCTTTCTGACTATGAACGCATTCCTTCTGACTTTAATGTGTTTGAGTAAAGATTAAGCTTCAGTCAACTTCAGTGTATGCATGACCAGATCGTTTTATACATGTATCTAATTACATTTTGTCAAGACTACAGTCGAACTATTCCCAAACCGATATTTTGTACCTATCTAATGAGACCTACAGGGGGTACTCGGGAAGGGTAGGGTAACAGGATAGGGGGTTGGGTACCCCGGTTGTAAATTTGGACTCATCCCAGCCCTACCTTCCAAGTCCTGTTTTTCTTACAGGATATACAATGAGTTATTTCCCTTGAACTGCTATGAGTGGCTGTGGTGGCGCATAATGGTGGCATTCAGAGACAGCCTATATTTGTAAGTTGACACAGAAAGAAAGAGGCTTGACAAGCCTGACAAATCTGTTCAGTGTTACCAGTAAATAGGACCAAACACTGGTCACTTTCATCTCAGTACCTGTCACTCATCACTCTTCACGTGGGCTCTTCAAGCTGAGCTCGCTATACTGAACAACTGTGTTTCCATTTACCAGTTTTTTACCGGTAAAATCAGGTTTGGACCGGTAATTCAAATGAAAAAAGGACCTCATAAATCTTTGATGTTGAACAAAACATCGCGATATCAGCATATTTTTCGAACAAAGTCAGCTTGACTGTTACCATCAGGGTTTCCCAATGTCTATTTGTTGTGCTATAGTGCAAGGAAATAACATATTGCTTTGCTTCGAGGTCAAATATATATTTGCAGCGACTAAGCCTCGAAATAATTTAAAAAAAGCGAAGAAACTTGTGACTGAACATTGTGTGAATGACATGTAGATCTAAGTTACTTCAGAAATGACGTCATTGCATCGAAAATGATGTTAAAAGAATTAAAACCAGGTAATTTACATACATATTATTATTTGTTGAAAGTTGTGACTGACAAAAATTAGAGGAGACTGGTAATGTTTAGTGTTGCCTGTCCACCGGGACAGGCAGTTTCAAAAGCCAGGGGAACACTGCTGAATGCAAGTCTTATGAAACTCTTTAGCGTCGGACTAGTGGCTAAAATCACAAATTGACTCTGCAAGAAACCGTGACCTAGTTCCTGCCTTGATCGACATATTACCCTCTAGGACACATTAGTGATAGCAGACCTTCCCTGATGGGTCGGGACCCATGAAGATTCCGGGGTAGAATAGGTCTTCGGCAACCAATGTTTGCCGTGAAAGGTGACCATGCTTGTCGTAAAAGGCGACCAACGGGATCGGGTGGTCAGGCTCGCTGACTTGGTTGATGCATGTTATCGTATCTCAATTGTGTGGATCGATGCTCATGATATTAATCACTGGATTGTTTGGTCCAGACTCGATTATTTACAGACCGCCGTCATATAGCTGGAATATTGCTGAGTGCGGCGTTAAACAACAAACAAACAAACCAACCTGATGGGTCGGTTTCATGAGGCAGAAGAAAACCGATTCCAGTTACCTGTATACACTTCTTTGGTGTGTCTGTTGATCCAAATGTTGTCGTAACAGCGGGATCCGTCGGGGTTACGGTTGCTGATGTTGGTGGGGGTGGTGGCAGGAATGCAGGGGGTGTAGCCATTTGAGGTCAGCAGTTTGTAGTCTTAAAACAAAAACAGAGCTTAATCAAAATTCCTGATGAAAACAGACAAAAACATGACCCCTGAACAACTTGAAACTTCCATGTCTCAGCTTGCCAACCTGATTATTGCAATTTACAATCCACAGGCTTGGAGTGAGTGAGTGAATGAGTATGGTTTTACGCCACTTTTAGCAATATTCCAGCAATATCACGGCGGGGGACACCAGAAATGGGCTTCACACATTGTACCCATGTCGGGAATCGAATCCGGGTCTTCGGCGTGACGAGCAAACGCTTTAACCACTAGGCTACCCGACCGCCCCCCACAGGCTTGGTGAAGTGATGATGTTTTAATCAATAGTCATCAATTGTCTGCAATATTGTAGCTATGTCACTGTGTCCTGTCAATTTTGTTATTTGTTGTTTAAAGCTGCACTCAGCAATTTTGCAGCCATATGACAGCAGTGTGTAAATAATCAAATCTGGACCAGAGTATCTAGTGATTGACACCATTAGCATCAATATATGCAGTTGGGATACGATGACAAGCATCAACCAGGTCTGCGAGTCTGACCCCTTGATACAATTAGTCGCATCTTACGACAGCATGGACCAATTCTACCCCCGACCTTTACTGTGGGAGTCCTGTAAATATACAAGGCAAACCTGTGGATGACGACATGAGCAGATTTGGGTACAATTACACACAATCAGGCACGTCATCTTCACTAGATGGCTCTAACATCAAGCATAGGGTACTATGGACCCATTCTGCCACAGAATCCCCCAATCCTCATTATTTGGCTCTAACAACAAGCATTGGGTACTATGGACCCATTCTGTCACAGAATCCCCCAATCCTCATTACATGGCTCTAACAAATGCAAGCATGGGGTACTATGTACACATACTGCCACAGAATCCCCCAATCCTCATTACATGGCTCTAACAAATGCAAGCATGGGGTACTATGTACACATACTGCCACAGAATCCCCCAATCCTCATTACATGGCTCTAACAAATGCAAGCATGGGGTACTATGGACCCATTCTGCCACAGAATCCCCCAATCCTCATTACATGGCTCTAACAAATGCAAGCATGGGGTACTATGGACCCATTCTGCCACAGAATCCCCCAATCCTCATTACATGGCTCTAACAAATGCAAGCATGGGGTACTATGGACCCATTCTGACACAGAATCCCCCAATCCTCATTACATGGATCTAACAAATGCAAGCATGGGGTACTATGGACCCATTCTGCCACAGAATCCCCCAATCCTCATTACATGGCTCTAACAAATGCAAGCATGGGGTACTATGGACCCATTCTGCCACAGAATGCCCCTTTCCTCACTAGATGGCTCTACCATTCTGCCACAGAATCTCCAATGTGGTAATAAATCACACATTTGTAGATAATAACACATACTGCTTAATGTTTGTCAAAAATATTTAATACTATTTACATTTTCCGGGAACCTTGTTTACCCAATTACTTGATTTTTTATTTTAGAAACTGCAGCTGCCTGGAGGAGGATTAACCCAATACTTTGAGTTTTACTTTGTTACTTAATGCAGCAGTCAACATGAGTTGAGCTACATTAAGGCAGTCTGTATAAAATTGAATCTGACAACCCAATGATTGACATTATGAGCAGACCTGTGAAGATCCGGGGTAGAATAGGTCTTCAGCAACCAATGCTTGCTGTAAAAGGTGACCATGCTTGTCGTAAAAGGTGACTAACGGGATCGGGTGGTCAGGCTCTCTGACTTGGTTGATGCATGTCACCGATCCCAATTGCGTGGATCGATGCTCATGATATTAATCACTGGATTGTCTTGTCCAGACTTGATTATTTAAAGACTGCTGTCATATAGCTGGAATATTGCTGAGTGCGGCGTTAAAAAACAAACAAGACAAAAAAAAACAAACCCCAAAACAAAAAACATTCTTAGCAAAGTTCACGCTATCAGGGTATGATGACCAAAACACTGAACATGACCACCCAATTATTTACCACCTTATGACAAGCACATAAAGAAACTGGAACCTATTTTAACCCACAATCTCCATGGGGGACAGTACTAGAGGCTAAAGAGTCCCATCTACAGCTAAAGTTCACCCCACTTAATGATGATAATGACAATAATGATAACGACAATAATAACAATAATAATAATAATAATGAGTACATTTCTACTGTGCCACATACCATGCCTGTGGGTATGCTCATAACCCTTCATCATATTTACCTGTCAATGGATCAGTGTGCTCAGTCAGAGTCCATTGTCATTCTCAGCTCCCTGGGGAGTATAAATTTCTGACCTACAACTATTCACTGTGTACATACCACACAGTCGTTCTTACCTTCAGAATCTGGGGACAGGTTGAAATCTCCTACGATGATGATGTCATTTTCTCCTGCAACAGAAATCAACCATTCATTCAACTGACCGGCTTACAGGAATACACATCACAGGTAAAAATAAGTGCTTAGACCCAACCAATTTATATCCTGTCTACTCCATATATTTCATATCTACATATAAACATAAACATGCTCTACAAATATCCTCTTATTTAATTTTTAATCTAATCTTCTTTATTTTGTTTATAACTTTAATTTCACAACTTTTGTCCAGGAAAATAACAGCCCAACAAAATTTTATATTTTTGTATTTTGCTTCCTGCTATTGCATATTGACCAATGAAATCTGAAATTATTGTGGTCTGGCCTAAATAAAGGGAGGCATTATACTGAATGAAGCAGCACTAAAATCCCTGAAACATCACATCACAACATCATCCTGATGAAATCATCTACCAATGGTATAAAAGCTTGTCCCCTGGACCAATCACATAAGGGGATTAAAGTTAATATTTGTTCAATGTATATATACTACACAAAAGAAGTTAAAGAATACTTGATTCTCTCATAGTAGTATATTTAATCTCTCTGAAGCCACACTGTATAATCTGCTATTGTTTACACTACCCATCTCATCTCAAATGCAGGTACATACAGGTGCACACATGCTTTGTTTGTTGTTTAAAGCCGCACTCTGCAATATTCCAGCTGTATGACGGCAGTCTGTAAATAATCGAGTCTGGACCAGACAATCCAGTGATTGATATCACGAGCATCGATCCACGCAATTGGGATTGATGACATGCATCAACCAAGTCAGCAATCCTGACCACCCGATCACATTAGTTGCCTCTTACGACAAGCATAGTCGCCTTTTACGGCAAGCATGGGGGCACACATGGCTACCTGTGGGGTATTGACTGTATGCCATACTGGCACCGTAGGGACTTCCCGCGCTATATGTATTTCGTTTGCGAAAAATGAATGATGACAGCCTGAAATAGTCACCTTGCCACAAATATGACTTTTAATGAGTCAAAGAGTGGCATTTATGGTATATGTATCCATTCTCTGGCAACTCAACTTCATTTCTAGACGTCAGTAGCAGTAATCTGACCGTGGCTGCTGTAAATAACGGTGAGTTGTGCGATCTACCGATCACTTCATACACAATTTAGCCAAAATTAACGTGACAATATTGAATGAAATTGTGAATAAAATATGAATAAAATATTACAAACATAAGTGCAGATATACATGGAACACGCTTTTATAACCAGAGAGAATAATAATGGGATTATATTGCATACTTAAGTTCGAATTTGTTGACTGGTATTTCTGGTGTTACGTGCTCATGGTGATCGGCTGATTAAGTTTTTTGAGATGGGGAAAAACATTGTGTCAGTGTAACACTTGAGTTTATTTAGAATGTAAGTAAACTTTGGGAGCCATGTGTTACCGCACGCTATAACCGAGGTCGCGCTATATTGAAGGGCGCAATAGCGAGGGAACACTATATGTTATGAAAGTGACACATGAGTTTAGGTGGGCGTGACCAAAATGCAAATGTCCGATTGGCAAAAAAATATATCCGGATCCCTGCTAAAGACATATTTAAGTTTAGTTTCTGCAAGGCTGCCATTAGTTCGAACCTTCCCCATACACCCATATACTCTATTCCTGTGACAGGTGTGTCCGAATCCTGTTCCCTGGTGAGAGTGGTCTTACCTGGAACCTGCTGCTCTATTGCAGAAATGAGGGCCGGGACTTGGCGGACTTCCTGTTTTGTCTTGTCCAGCGCTTCATCCTGCAGTCCTGCTGCCTTCAGATGGACGCTGACCACCACACAGTCAAACTTCTTGTTTATCTGAGATCAGACATTTATACAGTTACTGACATAAATACAGTTCAATTACTTTTTTCCTTAATACTTGTCATTATCTTCTATCCCAATATACCACCCGAGTGTGTTTTGTCCATTGTTTCAGTCAATTGTCATTCTTTGTAACTACCTGGTACGTGCACATGCCAACATTGGCCAATTGGATTTTGATGAGGGGAGACAACCTTGGTTCAGTGGTTTGCATTATTGCGTAAAGTGCATCATTTAGTCGGTTAGCACCCCCTCTGCGCGTGAGATGGATTCATCTCTCTCAGCCAACACCTTTTGCGTTGAAATCTATATCACCCTTGAGTGGGTCGCTAATGTAGATTCATGATTCCAGTATTGTGAAGTTGTAAAACCATTATCAACATAATCACCCAGGCATGCCCAAAGCTAGAAGCTGAAAGGGGCCCTGACTGGTATCACAATTAGCATGGGAGTGATTGTGTCTACTCCTTCCTTCAGAGTTGTTTCCAAACACATGTTTTCACTCCTGTTAGTCATAGTAAAGTAGATGCCTTTAAGCTAACTCTGACAATGATCGCATTGTCAACGAATTAACATTGAATTTAACACAAATACCTAGCAGTAAAACATATAGGATTTCAAACATTTTCTTTAAATTTTCCTGCTTAATTAGCTTTTCAACAGCATTACGGAATCATCAGGACACCAACCGACCAAAGAACCCTGAAATCAGCAAAAAAGAAAAGACTTCTGACAATCGTTTCCGGGCCGACTCTGTTTTCAATTTCATTCTTTTTTCTTGACCACCTACATTGAATTTTAGGCCAAAGTTTTTGTAAAGCAACTAATAAACAGCAAAAGGCCTCACAATACTGCCCTTGCAGGCCTACCTCAGCTACCTATTGATCTTGGAGCAACTCGCTGCATTATTGACAGCTATTTCCGCCACCTGTCTGCACACTCGAGTCAGTGACGACAATTAACTGTATCGGTCTGCACTAACTGGGCATATATTTCCCACTGCTCATCATTAGTTACGAGGTTTATTGGCAACATAATGTTCAGGTATTGACACTCGCTATGTCATGTACATATGAGCAGGTCTGACATAGCCCTGCATGCAGCTGACAATGCCCTGCACATGATAAGATCAACACCTCATGATTCATGCAGGAGGCTAGTCAGGGGGTGCCTGCCACAGATCGTGTCGCGGCTGTGATGTTGTGATGTTGCGATGTTGCTGCAATAATAGTACACAGATGTCATGTTGTTGCTGTAAGGCTGCTGTACATGTGCTTTATGTTGCTGCACATGATAAGTTGTACTAAGATCACGAGGGGTACATGGCGTTTCAGTTTGTGGTATAAAACCTAATGTAGGATGCATAAAACCCCACGTACCCTGAGTGATCCTGCTACAACAAATATATCTTACTTTTATGTTGCTGCAATGTTGCTGTACATATATAAATATGTTGCTGTAATGTTGCTGTACATATATTAATGTTGCTGTAATGTTGCTGTACATATGCTATGATGTTGCTGTACCTACACTATTATGTTGCTGTAATGTTGCTGTACATCTATTATTATGTTGCTGTAATGTTGCTGTACATATGCTATGACGTTGCTGTACCTACACTATTATGTTGCTGTAATGTTGCTGTACATCTATTATTATGTTGCTGTAATGTTGCTGTACATATGCTATGATGTTGCTGTACCTACACTATTATGTTGCTGTAATGTTGCTGTACATCTATTATTATGTTGCTGTAATGTTGCTGTACATATATTAATGTTGCTGTAATGTTGCTGTACATATATTAATGTTGCTGTAATGTTGCTGTACATATGCTATGATGTTGCTGTAATGTTGCTGTACATCTATTAATATGTTGCTGTAACGTTGCTGTACATATGCTATGACGTTGCTGTAATGTTGCTGTACATATATTAATATGTTGCTGTAATGTTGCTGTACATATATTAATGTTGCTGTAATGTTGCTGTACATATGCTATGATGTTGCTGTACCTACACTATTATGTTGCTGTAATGTTGCTGTACATCTATTATTATGTTGCTGTAATGTTGCTGTACATATATTAATGTTGCTGTAACGTTGCTGTACATATGCTATGATGTTGCTGTACCTACACTATTATGTTGCTGTAATGTTGCTGTACATCTATTATTATGTTGCTGTAATGTTGCTGTACATATATTAATGTTGCTGTAATGTTGCTGTACATATATTAATGTTGCTGTAATGTTGCTGTACATATGCTATGATGTTGCTGTAATGTTGCTGTACATATGCTATGATGTTGCTGTAATGTTGCTGTACATATATTAATATGTTGCTGTAATGTTGCTGTACATATGCTATGACGTTGCTGTACATATGCTATGATGTTGCTGTACCTACACTATTATGTTGCTGTAATGTTGCTGTACATCTATTATTATGTTGCTGTAACGTTGCTGTACATATGCTATGACGTTGCTGTACATATGCTATGACGTTGCTGTACATATGCTATGACGTTGCTGTAATGTTGCTGTACATATATTAATATGTTGCTGTAATGTTGCTGTACATATGCTATTATGTTGCTGTACATATACTATTATGTTGCTGTACATATACTATTATGTTGCTGAACATATATTAATATGTTGCTGTAATGTTGCTGTACATATGCTATGATGTTGCTGTACATATACTATTATGTTGCTGTACCCACATTATTATGCTGCTGTAATGTTGCTGTACATATTCTGTTATGTAGCTGTTGTGTTGCTGTTGAAATGCTGCCATATTTAGGCTGTATTTCTAAACAGTAATAAACACTATTGACAAAGCGTCATGCTGTAGGGAAATAAATTCTTGGGAAGAGAGAAAAAATCCAAGTAGGCCATTATCTGGCTGTTGATGACTTTCATTGATCGTTATAGCCATAAAAGAGTTAATTACTCTCCAACTTCACAAAAACCTTGTCGTGAACACTCATACCTCTGAGTAACCATAATTTCACAGAATTCAAATTAGGATCAAATCAATTTCAATGAAATTAACACACGTCCAAGACCTGATCTCGCTATGTATATTTACAGCATTTTGTACACATCCCATGCTGCATAAGAATTCATTGCTGGCCTCATTTACACTGCAGACAGACCCTGGTTAGACTGATTACATTTGGCCTGTTGCAACTGGCATGCAGTGTACACATAAGTGAAGAAGGTAAATAGTTACCGTATTCGACATAATAAGCGCCCAGGGCGCTCTCAAAATTAGAAACAGGGAGCTCTTATTAGAATATTATTTAAGTGATAAAAAAATGGAGTTGAAAGATCGTAAATTTCCTGGTTCATGCTGACAGCCTGAAATGTTTATATACGACAGATATATTTTTCCAGATTTTAATTGCCCATAATTAAGGAGACATATAACACACATATTATACACAAATAAATACGTCTTGTATACATAGAGGTTATCACGCGAGTGTGTTTGGGGATGGTAAATATCCTGCATTAGGAATAAACATTGTATTTAGCGAGCCTTGGGGAGCTAAATACATAGTGTTTATTCCTAATACAGGATATTTACCATTCCCAAACACACGTGTGATAACCTCTTTATCATATAATGTCATTCTTTAATTCTGTGCTTGAAAATAGCTCTCCCTCTCTCACAAACATTACCGAAACATTGCGAGTTTTCCTGGAATGCGCGCATTAATATTTATTACGTCACAGGGTAAGTGATGTGTCAGTCGGACTGTGACAGTAGCCAATATAGCTCCAACTAAAATCTGTTTCTTATACAGTGGCGAAGCAACATATACGCAAAACAACAATAATTGTTTTTACTTGCATTTCGCGGCAATCCATCGGTCTGTCCGCTAGAGTAACTGCCCTTTGTCAAAGGGAAACTACTCTAACCCTAGTCTTTGAGAAGTCACAGCCACGTTCAGGCGTTGTTGACAGTCGGTCTGTCCTGTCATAACGTCAAGTACAGTGACCACAGTCAGATGTACACAGAGTGACAAAACGAAACAAGGTAACAATTCAAACATATTTCGGCCAAATCCAACTATTTCAATTTGTGGAAAAGGTTTCAAGCTGCAGAGGTCGACAAGCACAGATATGGCTACTGATCCCGCTTGGCTGGGCCTAGTGCCCTCGCAAAATTGTTTCGAAATTTATATCTCCAAAGTTGCCAAAAGTTATAAAATGCCTTAGCTATATCACAGTTAGACACTGATTTTCAGTATATTAGACTGTTCTTTTAATAATGATAGCAATTATCCCTTTAGTTTATCCAGATTCCCGATGGTTAATTCTGACTCGATCGCCGAATGACAAGGGTGACGCCATGTTGTTTGTAAATACTGAAAGTAGTCCCTACTTGACCTTTCAGTTTGATATTTGCATCTCTATCCGCATATGACCCCAACGGATATCGTTTTTATCCGTTATCTTTATCCTGCCGAGAAACCTACCCATTATATGATAAATTGACTTATTTAGCGGTGTGTTAGGGGGGTGCAGTGTGTTAGGGGGGTGCAGTGTGTTAGGGGGGTGCAGTGTGTTAGGGGGGTGCAGTGTGTTAGGGGGGTGCAGTGTGTTAGGGTGGTGCAGTGTGTTAGGGTGGTGCAGTGTGTTAGGGGTGTACAGTGTGTTAGGGTGGTGCAGTGTGTTAGGGTGGTGCAGTGTGTTAGGGTGGTGCAGTGTGTTAGGGTGGTGCAGTGTGTTAGGGGGGTGCAGTGTGTTAGGGTGGTGCAGTGTGTTAGGGTGGTGCAGTGTGTTAGGGGGGTGCAGTGTGTTTGGGGGGGTGCAGTGTGTTAGGGGGGTGCAGTGTGTTAGGGGGGTGCAGTGTGTTAGGGGGGTGCAGTGTGTTAGGGGGGTGCAGTGTGTTAGGGTGGTGCAGTGTGTTAGGGGGGTGCAGTGTGTTAGGGTGGTGCAGTGTGTTAGGGTGGTGCAGTGTGTTAGGGGGGTGCAGTGTGTTAGGGTGGTGCAGTGTGTTAGGGGGGTGCAGTGTGTTAGGGGGGTGCAGTGTGTTAGGGGGGTGCAGTGTGTTAGTTTGGTGCAGTGTGTTAGGGGGTGCAGTGTGTTAGGGGGGTGCAGTGTGTTAGAGGGGTGCAGTGTGTTAGAGGGGTGCAGTGTGTTTGGGGGGTGCAGTGTGTTAGGGGGGTGCAGTGTGTTAGGGGGGTGCAGTGTGTTAGGGGGTAGCAGTGTGTTAGGGGGGTGCAGTGTGTTAGGGTGGTGCAGTGTGCAGTGTGTTAGGGTGGTGCAGTGTGTTAGGGTGGTGCAGTGTGTTAGGGTGGTGCAGTGTGTTAGGGTGGTGCAGTGTGTTTGGGGGGTGCAGTGTGTTAGAGGGGTGCAGTGTGTTAGAGGGGTGCAGTGTGTTTGGGGGGTGCAGTGTGTTAGGGGGGTGCAGTGTGTTAGGGGGGTGCAGTGTGTTAGGGGGTAGCAGTGTGTTAGGGGGGTGCAGTGTGTTAGGGTGGTGCAGTGTGCAGTGTGTTAGGGTGGTGCAGTGTGTTAGGGTGGTGCAGTGTGTTAGGGTGGTGCAGTGTGTTAGGGTGGTGCAGTGTGTTTGGGGGGTGCAGTGTGTTAGAGGGGTGCAGTGTGTTTGGGGGGTGCAGTGTCGGGAAGGTGGTAGGGGGTTTGCACACCCTTTAGCCCTACCTCTCTGGACAGTCTCTTTCATACATAACTATCCATAACATCTATACAGCAGCCTGCATTGTTGTGTCTGGTGCACTGACCAGTGTCCCTGGGGGTCACTCATAAATACTGTCTACAGTACTTGAAACAACCACACCATTCATGGCATAAGTAATTAAGAATTAGATAATCACCTACTACTGTATTTTCCTACCACACTCAGCAATATTCCAGCTGTATGACGGCGGTCTGTAAATAATTGAGTCTGGACCAGACAAAAGTTATGAATATCGACACTAAAGAAATTATTCACTGCCACAGAAATGTTTACATTTGTTACATATGATGGTACAGGTATTCAAAGAGAAGGCAGAAAATACAATATTTAATAAACATTAACGTATCAGCCAAGTATTAAGTTGATTAATTATAGGTCTAAAATGGACATTTTTTTTATCGGTACACATAAAGATCATTAATTTTGTTCTTAATATTTATAACAACACTAAACTTTCCAATCAATAGACCGCTCGGCCACATCATACCAAAAGACGTTAAAAGATAGTACTTGTTGTACCTGTCTAGAGCTCGGCATTAAGGGGCTAAAACAAGGACTGGTCGGCTTGGAGTCAGTATACTGTGTCTGAGTGGGGTATTCATGTTAAACTGCGATGGTATCTCAGTGGGTTAGCACTATAAATTGGCATCAGTCCGGGCTAGTACAAGCAGCCACATACAAACACACACGCTATTTCGCTATATAAGTGCAAAAATCTTGGACGCGACGTTTCACCTCACCTCACCTTCCAATCAATGGCCCCCCTGTTATCCAGAGACATCTCTACTGTGACCTACTACAGACTGACAGGGACTCGTATCAACAAAGAAATTTCCGAGATTGAAAAACACAATCATCGGATCATTGAAGCGAACAAGTGTGGCGATCTGGTTGTTGATATGGTTGCGAATCAATACCCACCTTGAACACCCCCAAGAACGGCCGCCTCACAAAGGGAAATGTTCCTGACTCTGGTTTCTTCAACAGAGAGCAGCTAACTAGCTCAATATTCTGTGATGTGTCGTACAAAAACGCATTGTACTCCATGCTCTGAAACACACATCATATTGAAATAGGATGATTTGATTTGATTTGAATAGAAAGAACTGTTTTCTCATATTAAACAAAGGGAGCCTTGTGATATGCTTTAGCACTCAAGTTTCTGTTGTTCATAAAATGTTCTTGGTGGTCAGGTACATTGTATATGCATATTTCAAATTTCTTTCTTAGAGATACTTAGTAAGTGAATTGGGAAAAAATAATACAATAACTGTAACTATTTGAATACCTCACTGTTTGTTTGTTTGTTTGTTGTTTAATGCTGCACTCAGCAATATTTCAGCTATATGACGGGGGTCTGAAAAATAATTGAGTCTGGACCAGACATTCCAGTGATTGACATCATGAGCATCGATCCATGCAATTAGGATACGATGACATGCATCAACCAAGTCAGTGAGCCTGACCACCCAATCCCATTAGTCGCCTCTTACGACAAGCATAGTCGCCTTTTACGGCAAGCATGGGTTACTGAAGACCTATTCTACTCCGGATCTACAAGGGAATACCTCAATGAGTGTGTAGTGATTACGAAGAGATGAATAATTTTCTTTTGCATTCTGTAACACATTACGTTTATTACCGTAAGTTTGATTGGATGAATTTTTCAGCATGATAAAATCAATCTGTCAAATCACACAAGAAATAAGCATTTGTTCAGTTTCAATTAAAACAATAAAGGGAGTGTTATTTGTTTCAAGCAGTTTGTACCAGGGAGTAATCTGCACTCACTCTGTACATCCTTCCAGTGGCTTCTGAGACTGAACACCTCCAGTTGCCACGGTGACCTGCCCACTTCTTGTTGTTCGCTGATGTAGGAGTGTTGAGTTCATCACAGATCTACAGCACAAAACATGACTTGCTGAGTCTGGTAATGTCAGTACACAAAACCTGACCTGCTGAGTCTGGTTACATCAGTACACAAAACCTGCTGAGTCTGGTTACATCAGTACACAAAACCTGCTGAGTCTGGTTACATCAGTACACAAAACCTGACCTGTTGAGTCTGGTAATATCAGTACACAAAACCTGACCTGCTGAGTCTGGTAATGTCAGTACACAAAACCTGACCTGCTGAGTCTGGTTACATCAGTACACAAAACCTGCTGAGTCTGGTTACATCAGTACACAAAACCTGACCTGCTGAGTCTGGTTACATCAGTACACAAAACCTGACCTGCTGAGTCTGGTTACATCAGTACACAAAACCTGCTGAGTCTGGTTACGTCAGTACACAAAACCTGCTGAGTCTGGTTACATCAGTACACAAAACCTGCTGAGTCTGGTTACATCAGTACACAAAACATGACCTGCTGAGTCTGGTTACATCAGTACACAAAACCTGCTGAGTCTGGTTACATCAGTACACAAAACCTGCTGAGTCTGGTTACATCAGTACACAAAACATGACCTGCTGAGTCTGGCAATGTAAGTAAATGTATAACTTTATGGATAACAACTCTTGCATATAGTGACGTTTTGACGTAGATTCTTACAGCATTATCAGGTTGGACTGTAGCTTGAAAACGATGTAAGAATCTACATTGAAACATCACTAAATGCAAAAAACGGAAAGTTATCAATAAAGTTGTACGTTTCCTTATTTACTCACCAAGTTCAGAAATCTACAGTAAATCATCTAAAAAAGGTACATAACGAATACTCACTCTTTCTAAGGCTTTTTCACTGGCTAATTCCTGGAGCGCTACAATACCAAACCTGTTGAATACAAGAAAATGTTTTCAGAAAACATATTTCACTTGGATGACAATAATGTTGTTGTTTGTTGTTTAACACCACACTCAGCAATATCCCAGCTATATGATGGGGGTCTGTAAATAATCGAGTCTGGACCAGACAATTCAATGATTGACATCATGAGCATTGATCTATGCAATTGGGACACAATGACATTCATCATCCAAGCCAGCGCGTCTGACCACCCGATCCCATTAGTGGCTTCTAACGACAGGCATACCGTATTTTCTTGAGTATAGTGCACACTTTTTTTCGAAAAAACACAGCTGTGTAGAAGGGAGTGCGCATTATACACGAATTATGAGTTTGGATGTTTTTTCCCCCATGGAAAGACATTACCGTGAGCACGAAACACCGGGAATACCATGTCAACAAATCCATACTGAAGTACGCAAAATAATTATGTAATTACACTGTCTGGCTATAAAAAGTGTTCTTTGTATATCTGGACTTATGTTTGTAACTTATTTCATTGATTTTATTCAAAATTCCTTATAATATTGTTTTTATTAATTTCGGCGAAATCGTGTGTGAAGCGATCGGAAGATCGCACAACTCACCGTTATTAACAGCAACCACGGTCAGAATACCGCTATTGACGCCTTGAAACAAACTTTAGTTGGCAGAGAATGGATACATATATCATAAATGACATACTTTGACTCGTTAAAAGTCATATTTGTTTTTGTTTGACGATTCTATGTCAACATGAAATTCTCGCGATCACGTGATCACGTGCGCATGAGCCTTGACGGTGACTGGTCAGACATGTTCCATGTAAAAAATAATACCCGAGAATAGCGATCAGCTGCTTCGCTTAGGGTTATTATTATTTTAAATATGTTTAGTAAAGGTTGCATATTATTAAGAAAATAATGGAATATATTATTCCTGATAAATAAAATAGTTTCAGATACAATTGTTGCCGATCCTTGCATTAAAAATCTTATAAAGTTATATCATTGGGTGTGTCTTGACCGAATCACCGGTCGATTCCAAGAAAACGTGTGTACAGCTGATTTCTGATTCCAGCTTAGTTTACGAGAAAATACGCAAGGTAATCTTAATCCCTAAATATAAAACAATGCCTAGCAGAACAATAAATACTATTTAAACGGTAAATAAACATGTCTGGTGATTTTTTATCTCAAATTTCGAATTTGTACTGACAAAGTTTCTCAGCATCCGTTCGTTTGCCGGACTTCGCTGAAAGGGAACGGTGTAAAAAAATTCTGCGCATAATATTCAAATTTCTTTTTTTCCAAAATATTGAACCCGCTAGAGGGGGGTGCGCATTATACATGGGTGCGCACTATACTCAAGAAAATACGGTAGTTGCCTTTAATGGCAAGCATGGGTTGCTGAAGACCTGATTTAACCCAGATCTTCACAGGTGGATGACAATAATGACAAAATATACATGTATACCTAATGCATCAGGTGTTTGAGTCTGTGGCTCCCTGAATACAGTGAATGCATGGATGCAACTTATATATAAGTCTGAAGAATTTCAAAAATAGTCAGTTAGGGTGTAAAGAATCAACGAATATTTAGTGCATTACATGACTATGCCAAGAATATCATATCATGAGGTCATGTATTGATGAAAAGTGACACAAATCAGTACAACTCAAAAGATGTTAAAGAACACAGGATTCTTTTCATATGACTATAGTTAATCTGTCATTGATGGAGGGCATTGCAACACACAGCCTCCCAATTGTGGTTGTTCTCTAACTTGTAATGAGTAGCATATAAGATTGCATTAGCACTAATTGTAAACTATTAATACCTGCCCATATGTGCCTGAGGTAGCAAGCCATCTACTATGGCTGGGACGGGTAACTCGGGTACCCGGGTCGGGTGGGTACTGAGTAGTACCCGGGTACCCACAGGACTATCCCGACCCGTGGTTAGTCACGTGATATATTGTTTGATGACAATGTTACTAATGTTTGCATTTCTTTCTGATTGTGCACCCATTCCTTCTCATTTTTCATATAGTTGAATAAAGATATAACTTCAGTGTATGAATGACCAGATTATTTAATACATATATCTTAATACATTTTGCCAGGGCTATGCTAAAAATGTTCCCAATCGGACATTTGAGACATCTCCTTAGACCTACAGGGGGTGCCCAGGTAGGGTTGGGTAATAGGGGGGTGGGTACCCGGGTAGTAAAGTTGGACTCATCCCAGCCCTACCATCTACAAGAAATGTCATACTTATATTTATTCCAATTGATGATAGTGTCAAGTTTTCATGTATCATGCAACGAATCGCTTGATCTTTAACTGTACAAAATAAGTGAATGTACTATAATCTTGGTAATGGCATTAACTTAAGATTACAGGAAGCTTTTCAGAACATGGCTGCCCATAACATGTATAAGCCCCAATCTGATTTCGTAAAAAAAGCTCTTTATATAAAAGCTAAAAAAAATAAACCAACAAAACAATGCAAAATGGTATTCAAGATTCATATTTTCAATCGATCAGAATAATATTTTTTCTATTTCTTTTTCACTTCTACAAAAATATAGGCAGGCTCAACAAGTAAGATGCTTGTTCTGTGAATGGGCTGTGAACGTACACTATACAAATGACAGATTAACTATAGAAATTAAGGACAGAATCGGGTGTTATGTACTTCCTTTTCAGTAGTACAGTAAACTACGTTTATAACGAACTGACGGAAATAACCAAATGTTTTTTGGTCCCGGACATTTGCTGTTTTTATGCTGTATATATGCTTATAACAAACTACGGTTATAATGAACTACAATTAATGGTCCCTTTGAGTTCATTATAACAGTAGTTTACTGCATATAAAAGGACATTTTCAGTCTAGTTAGTTGGTTGGGTTTAACGCCGCTTTTAACATTATTCCAGTTATATCACGGCGTGTCAGCTTAATGTGGGAGGAAAGCCCGAAGTGATGCAGGTCTCAGACGTTTACCACTTCGGTGAAACCCACGAGCACGGGTATGGTGCTGATAAACCTAGTAACATAATCGGGGCGAACCGGGATTCGAACCCACAACCATAGGTTTATGGCCTGCCCAAGGGACGCAACTCTGCACAGCGAATCGCGGCACCTTAGACGACTGGGCCACCCGTGCTCCCTCTAGACATAAAATTTGTTTTGACCACACTTCCCAAGTTATCACATGGCCTGACCAAGGTTGAAATTATACCAGAATATCTGCACCACAGACACAGCTGGGTAAATGCAGATTATGATGTCAACACACGAGTGATATTCTACATGCACAATCCTGAGGCAGATAGCACTGTGCAAGTATTGTTGGGTTGCAACGACCTTGTTCAACAAGTCTGGATATCAACACACATGCTACATGCATTGCGTCTGCCCTGGTAAAAAGTCAACAAGCAGCAGCAGACGACATGATGACATACCACACACAGATCTACAATCAGCTGAGGTTATTGTACCAGACACTCTTGGCCAACATATGAAATGCAATCAAACTTATCACTATGAGAATGATAACAGTGATAACCCACCTCATGCAGGTGTATGATAACATTGATATCTCAGGTAGTTATCTCATGTATATATATACATGACATATCATGGTGTTTATAAACATGGGGAATATATGGAGGACACTGTCCCCATATGAACACTGTGTGGATTATGGCTACAGAGTTGACTCTTGTTGTTGACTTAATATTTAACTAAGTGTCCCTGGCAGGCAAATTGGAAAAAAATCGTTATTTTGTTCAAAGTTTCCTTTTTCCATAAATTAAGAGGTATGCCTATTTTAACATTATATTTTGACATTGCATTCAATGCAATATCAATAACTAAACATCACAACCTCTTCCTATTTATTGGTCCTGTTATCAGTGAAAACAGGTTATTTCTAAAAAGCCAAAAATATTAGCTATTTGTTATATATATTAACATAAGTTGGGAAACATCAAATTCCATTTTGAGTATTTTTAATGACATTTGCTGCAGACTTGGGGCTGAATATCGGCCTCTAAACATTTCAAAATAATTCCCAGCATGCCCAACAGGAAAGCCTGGCTCCAAGTCTAAACTGAATGATTAGTCCATGTTTGTATTGAAATTCTATCCACGTAACAGGCAAGTCAAGATAAGCAGACAGTTCTGAGGATGCCTGTCTTTTATGGGGACAACTTGTTTTTCTTTTTTGTATAATCTTGGAATCGATTAATCTTATAATCATAAATGCCATAGAGAGTTGTGCAAGTCTAGCTCCAGAGTTACCATGGTTACAAGACCTATAAGACTAATCACAGGTGTGTTTTTGTCTCATTTATGATGTACAATACTATTGATGTCATAGTTTAGCCATTTTGTACAACTAAATTAGCAAATTGTATTTGAATATTCCATACATGATATATGGAATAACAACTTTGGGACAGGTCGGTATGGCCTTGTTAGCTACATTCCGGCTATATTTATAAATAAGTATATATAAATAAATGTAAATAATTAAGTCTTGACCAGATAAACCTGTAGTTGATATTAGAAGAAAAACATTGTTAATTCTGATTTCATGTGAAATAGAGCCATGTTCTTATATTACAGGGTAGAGTGTCTTGTTCCAGATGCACGCACCAGCCATCTCACCAGCAGAGATGGTACCAATCACTTTCTGTATATAGGTATGTAGGTAACACAGGCTTATATAAGTAATGTCATCTGACTAGAAGCTCAAGGAAAACTTGACACGATGACATGCATCAACCAAGTCAGCAAGCCTGACCACCCGATCCTGTTAGTCGTCTCTTACGACAAGCATAGTCGCCTCTGTTACGGCAAGCATGGGTTGCTGAAGACCTATTCTACCCCGGATCTTCATGGGTCATTATCATTTGTGAGACGTAAGAGTGACTCCATAATTATTATTTGCATACATTTATTGTTGATTCCATTGTTGACTTATAAGTTATACACTC